ATTACTTTGGCTTTTGGGGGTCTCCGACAGGCCTTCCCTTCCCATGGCGTGATCGAGGCTCAGGTGCAGCTGAGGGGCTTGAGGTTTGACCCAAGGTCTGACCTGGATGCATTTGTCATCCGACTGAGGGGACTTGTTTGCGCTGCGTTTCCGGACAGTGAGGCTGATTGTCTGCTGTTCAACTACTTTATGCAGGCGCTACCCATGCAGTATCAGTCCCGTTTGATTTCTGACGGCATTGCGTCGTTTGACACCGCACTGGTCGCAGTCCGCAACATGTGTTGCGCGGCACGGCTGAACGTGAGTCAGCCTGCGCCGGTCCGGCAGGTCCAGTCTGAGAGCGACGTGCTCCGTCAGAGGGTCGAGGAGTTGGAGAAGGAGTTAGCTCGTCTGAAGGGAACCGGAGGTTCCAAGGCTACCGGCTGTTTCTGTTTTTGTTGTGGTGGTGAGGGCCATGTCCGTAGGAACTGTCGTAATAGGAACTCTGTCTGCTATCTCTGCGGCATCAAGGGTCACTTGGCTCGAGTCTGTGGACTTAGGGCTCCGGAAAACACGAGTGGGGCCGCCGGTTCCGCCCCACCGGGTCGGGCCCCGTACCCGCAGAGGGGGGCCAGGGGTGCTCCGGCACCAGGCAGCGCTCAGTGGCCGCCGCCGGTGCCGCTGCAGGCGGACGCAGCTCTGCATCCACCGGGGATGGGTCCCTCGATGTATCAGCCGCGGTTCGTACGGCCGAATCCGGCTCCGGACTCGACGGGTCAACCGAGGACGTCGACCGCGTCGTCCTGCTGAGGCGTGATATGACTTTCGATGGCGTGGTGGGCGGTGTTCGGTGCTCACTGCTACTTGACACCGGTAGCAGTATTAACTTGCTCAGTAAGTCTGTCTTTGATGTTTTGCCGAGTCGTCCTCCACTGATGAAGACGTCTGCTGTGGCGAGCACAGCCACACAGGATCCTCTGCCGCTGCTGGGGAGGGTAAAGGTGTCTCTGAAATTGGGAGGTCAGACCACAGTTGTGCCTTTCTTTGTTTCAGAGTGTATTGATGTGCCTGTCATGTTAGGTTTAGAGTTTTTGGCTGCGTGCCCATGCGTAATTGACATATTTGCTGGCCAACTGGTTCTGACGCCATCGCGAGCGGTTCGTTCAGTTTCAGCTTCCGTCATTTCTGTGGGACGGGTGATTCTCCAGAATGACCTGTCTGTTCCTCCGGGACATGAGTTAGTTTTCTCTGGTTTTGTCCCGAATTCAGACTACCGTGGCCCGGCTATGATGGAGCCGTGCGCTGATATTGAGGGCCTTGAGTTTGTCCCCTCAATTGTGTCCGTATCTGGTCAGTCGGTTCCGTGTGTGGTTAGAAATGTGACAACCCAGCCGGTGACGATTCCTAAGCGTTCAGAGGTCGGCCGGCTGGAGGTCGGTATCGCAGAGTGTCCGCTGTCGGGCGATCAGACCGCTGAGCGGGATTGGCGTGATCGGCTCGACCTGTCCGGTAGTGATCTTTCCGACCAACAGCGTGCCGCGCTCACTTCTCTGCTCGCTCGGTACGAGGATATGCTTGATGGTCGCCTTGGATTCACGTCTCTCGTCCAGCATCACATAGACACAGGAGACGCCCCTCCTGTCAGGTGTGCTGCTCGTCGGGTTCCCCCTTTCCTCCAGGAGAAGGTAAAGGCTGAGCTCGATCGTATGGTTGAGGCTGGTATTCTCGAGGAGAACTTTGGGAGTAGTTGGGGTTCTCCAATCTGTGTCGTTACCAAGAAGGACGGCAGTGTTCGGATCTGCGCTGACCTGCGCAAGGTCAATGCAGTGACCCGGATTCCTGCATATGGCATTCCTCGAATTGATACCATTCTTGACTCTCTTGCGGGTCATTCCATGTTTTGTGTACTCGATCTTAAGCAGTGCTATTACCAGATCGGAGTAGCTCCTGAGGACTGCGACAAGACTACCATAGTCACTCCATTTGGTTCATATAAGCACAGGCGGCTTCCACTAGGAATTAATAGCGCCCCGATGACATGCGCTCGACTTCTAGATCTAGTGCTCCGTGATGTGCCTCCAGATACTGCTGTAGCATACTTTGATGATATTTTGATAGGTGGAAAAGATTTTGATGATGTCATGAGCAAACTCGAGTTGGTTTTACAGAGGCTACGTGCCGCAGGCTTGACAATCAACCTGAGCAAATGCTCCCTGTTCCAAAGGTCTGTGAAATTCCTTGGGCACGTCATTTCTGCCGACGGTGTCGCAGTCGACCCTGAGAAGGTCGAAAAAGTCCGCAACTGGCCAGTTCCTCGAACCGCCAAGCAACTCGCTTCATTTCTTGGCATGGCCAGCTTTATGCGTAAACATGTCAGAGACTTTGCTAGCATTGCAGCCCCATTGCAGCGCCTGCTGCACAAGGACGTTCGTTTCGCGTGGACAGACGAAGCTCAGAACTCGTTCGATAGGCTACGCACAGCCCTGTGCGAGGCTCCGGTTCTCACCGTGCCGGATTTCAGTCCCAATGCTGGTGTGTTTATCCTGGAGACTGACGCGTCACAGGAGTCAGCGGGTGCTGTCCTGAAACAGCGGGTCGGCGATGATGAGAAAGTCATTGCGTATGGCAGTCACAAGTTTTCAAAGGCGCAATCCAATTACAGCGTGACTAAACGTGAGTTACTTGCAGTGGTTTTATTTGTTGATAAATTCGCTCCGTATTTGCTTGGTCGGCAGTTTTTAATCCGGACTGATCATGCCAGCCTCCGATGGTTACTGAATTTCAAAAATCCATCTGGTATATTGGCCCGGTGGTATGAGATTCTTGGCCAATTTCAGTTCGTCATCGAGCACCGTCCAGGGTCAGAGCACGTCGTGCCTGACGCTCTCAGCCGCAGACCTCCAGATGTGGACGACAAGGCCTGTCAGACTGAAGGTCTTTCTGTCCCCGTGTTTCGTGTCAATGCTTCTGACTGGTCAGTAAGCTACATTCGCGCTGAACAGGACCAGGATCCAGACTTGTCTGAGATCAGCAGACACCTGTCTGCAGGTCGCAAACCGAAGAAGAAAGAATTGTCTGCGGCAGCAGGTCGGTTTCTGTCGCAGTGGCACCGACTACGACTTGTGAATGGGGTACTTTTTCGTCTGTACCGAAGGAGACCGTTTGACTCTGATCAGCTCCAGATTGTGTTGCCCAGAGCTCTCATTTCCAGTGCCCTGGCGTCACTGCACGCTGGGCCTTCCGGTGGCCACTTCGCAGCTGACAAGCTGTTCGAACAGGCCAGACTCCGGTTCTGGTGGCCTCAGATGTTCACCGAGATAGAGTCCTTTTGTAAGAAATGTCCCCAGTGTGGTTCGCGCAACGCCCCAATTCCGGCTCCGAGGGCTTCGCTTGGTGAGCTCTCAGCAACAGAACCACTCGAGGTAGTGGGTCTGGACATTCTGTCATCATTGCCAGAGACTCCAAGTGGTCACAAGAATCTTCTCGTTGTAGTAGATCACTTTTCACGCTGGGTAGAAGCGTATCCGTTAAAGAGTCAAGAAGCAGCTGAAGTTGCTACAGTGTTCGTTCGCGAGTTTGTTTCCCGATTCGGCTGTCCGCGCCGGATTCATTCAGACCGCGGTGCTAACTTCACGGGTGAAGTCTTGAAAAAGACGTGCGAGCTTCTGGGTATCGCTCAATCCAAGACTACCGCGTTCCATCCCATGTCCAATTCCATCGTAGAACGCACCAACCGAACTCTGATTAACATGTTTGCAAAATTCCTTGAACAGCATGAGCACGCTGAGTGGGATAGAAATCTTCCGTTACTTTTGCTTGGGTTGCGAGCTCAAGTGCATCGATCTTTAGGTGTGTCACCCTATTGTGTCATGTTTGGAAGAGAGCCCCGGCTACCGATTCAGCTGGAGCTCGACACCCCTCTGAAGGGCCGAACCCGACCCATCACTGACTATCTTGATGAACTGCGATCAAATTTGCAGGCACTTCATCGTCTCGCGTTTGACAGTGCCAGGCTCAGTCATCGACGGAACAAGGCGGTTTATGATCGGAAGATAAATGACTTTAAGTTTGCCCCAGGTGACCGTGTTTATTTGCACAAGGGAGTGGTCCCAAAGGGATCATATTATAAGTTCCTCCGACCGTGGAAGCCCGCGGTTGTTATAGCCAAAGTCGGAGATATGAACTATAGGATAAGGTTAGATGGTGCCAAAGCGACACTACTTGTGCACCACAACAGGCTCAAGCCACGAGCTAGACAGGATCCGGACCAGCCGCGGAGCGGTGTCGCGACCGATCCCGCGACTGATCCTGTGCACCCAACAGGGGGGAGGGGACGTGTGGGTGACTGGTCTCGGGAGGTGGTGGGGGAGTCTCAGTGGAATGGCCATGCTGATGAGCCAGCTGTACTCACTCGTATTGCCCCTGATCAGTCGTATGTCCCATGTATTTCGCATCCGGCACTGAATTTGAGCCCCACTGTGCCGCTCTTGACCAGCGGTGTCCCCGGTGATTCGGGAGATGAGAGACCTGACCCAGGCGCGGGTGACAGACTGAGTCCCGCTGGTACTCGTGAAGGGCAGACGGAGGGTTCGGAGACCACCGCATTAGGCGATGCGCCTCTGAGACGCTCTGCGCGGAGCAACAAAGGTGTGGCTCCTGAGCGGTTGACTTATGGGTAATTTTGTTTGGTAGCTGCCGTTGAGCCGTGAGCACTGAGCATTGTCATGTGAAAGTTCTAGCCCGAGTCTCTGTGGTGAAAATAAAGTAGAGCGGACAATGTTGGGTCGAGGGCCCCGACTCCTTCATTTGTTATGTCTCTAGTGGGTTGAATGGAGACTCGTTCGATTATTGCCGCAGATTCAGAGGGATTTAGCTGGAATTTGTGCAGTGTTATAATGTGCTCCTCGATGGTGTCAATTGTCCGGCGCGTGTGTGATTGATTTCTGAATTGTGCTGCCGCTGTTCCGGCCGGTGTTAAGCTGACGTTGAGAGGACTGTATGCTCGTTAAGGGGGAAGTATAGGCGGTGTGCCGCGCAACAATCCGGCGGCTCTACGCCGGTTGCGGGAAAATCAGGTCATGTGACTCAGGTCATGTGACTCCCGCGGGTCGGGAGCCACCAATCGCTGCGCGCCACGATTGGCCGGCGGGTCGGCCGTCCGGGCCGCGCGGCGGCGACCCCGCCATTCGTGCACTGGTTCTGTGTGGTTCGTGACGTGTGCGTCTGCGTGAACGGTAAGATTTGCTATTTTGTTACTATGAATTGTTGTAAACCCTCATTTGTTGTTAACTTTGCTTTGCTTAGTGGTTATTTTTATCGTTGTCTGCATTTGTGCGTTTTAAGTTAATTTTAATCTGTTGCAGGACGCGGGCTAGTCTGTAGGGCTAGTCTGTGGAGCTAATAACAAGTTGATAGCGGAGCTTATGTCTGAGATTTGATATTTGAACTCCGCACCACAAATAAACTTACGAAAGCATAAGCACCGTGTTGTCAATGGGAGGCAGCAGTTGTGACGCAGAGCTCGGCACCCCGGCCCTACAATTAGGTATACAGTGTACCAAATTTCGAAGTTATGGGAAAAAAGCTACAAGAATGGCGAGAGGGGAAAGTTTGATAGAGGTATACCGTATAACTGAACTTGACATAGCGACCTGACCTTAAGTGACCAGTGATAATTTTTACGCAAGTGATGTAGGTAGGTATACCTACCTAATAGGTTATACCAAATTTCGCGGCGCTGCACGCCGCTTTGTTACAAGCGCACACATGCACATACGCACGCACAAAACTGGCAAGTGTGGCAAAAAAAAAACACCCCTACCCATCGGGTGAAGACTAGAAACCCGACCCCCACTCAAAAATCCGTGGCGACGCCCCTGGGTGTAGCTATGTCGAGCATTATGACTTTTTCTAAGGTAAGGTCACTTGACGACCTTGACCTAGAGTGACCTGGTTTGAAGTCTGGATTTGTTTCAGCCTATGCGGAAAAGACGCATGAAAAGGTGTGCCAAAAAAGAACGGTGGCGTGGAGCCCCACAGTTTTTTTAACTAAGCTGTGAAAAACCACATGGGGACGTTCAAACACTCCCGGCCCGGCGTGGATTAACCTGACCTCCGCGTCCCGTAACGGCGCACCTGTTCGAAATTCCGCAAACTGGACGAAATGGCGAGGGGGTTCGCAGGCCGAAACCGCTTTCGCCCCCCCCCCCCAGGTATGAAGAATACTTATAGATCCAGTGATGGATAATCTAGATTTGATAAGTAAAAAAAAACGCAATTTCTAGTGATGATTATAAAGACATTTTACTAATGTTTTCCTCTCTGCGATGATCTATACACGGAATTTTACTCCGTAACCTGTTGTTACATAATCTGCCGCCTATGAGTCGTTACGGTCGCTACAGAGTAATGTATGCCCTGTGATGATGGCGATGTAATTTACGTCGCTGATTTTGCGTCCGATTTCCTACCAGGCGAGTTTCGAGTCAGGCACGCGAGGGCTTAAGCACGGGATTTCTGACCCTTGTCATCTCGCCAATACGGCAGAATTGACCGCACTACGTATCAATTTGGCCGGCATGCTGCGCCGCAGGGGCATTGCGTGCTTATCCCATGGTGGGGAAGGTATAAAACAGGGAGCCCCTTAGTCACCTCTACAGTTGAGGGAACACTTCGCTACTCGCCATGAAGTCGGTACGTATATGGAGGCTGGTCTAGCTGCTGTGTCACGACCGATCCTTAGGACACAACATTGCAGTGTCAAAATTATACATATTTGATCTTCTATCATACCTTTTCTGCTCTTTTTGCTACATAAATGGCTTCTTGCCCCAAAATCTTTGTCTGATTGTTGCTTAAAATTAAAAGCAAAATTATCCAAAAAGATTTATATTTTTAACACAAAACTGTCCAACTTTGTTCAGAATCACTTCTTTTCTTTGAAATCCTAGTCTTTGTCTAGGATCGCTATTTTTTTCCAAAAAAAAATCAGTTAAGTGTTTTCGGTCACTATCCATCATCAGTCGCTTCGTGCGTTTCCACGCGTCAGTTCTGCTCCTTATCAATGAACTGGCTTATGATTGTTTAGTCTTCGATGAAGCAGCATAACTTTCGAATTAAAACGTATTATTTGCAGCTTGAAATTTTGTTTCGATACTATAGGACTTATACTCAATCTTTTTTTCTTCTTTTGAGGGAAGGTGTATTTCTCTCATGATGTACCTAACATGCGTGGCCCGTTAACATAGGTGGGGCATTCCACGATAGATCGTACCACTTTTTTCCAATTTGACACCCTCATCTCTCGGAATTTGACGAGAATTGGTCTCAGGGTAATCAGGGGCTCTGAATCCACCTGTAACAATTTCAGGCTTATCAGATAAGTATTTTTTGAGTTATGGTGTATAACATTTTTTGGATCTTGCTTTGCAGCGCTAGGTTTGGCGGACTGTAACTCTAAGACGGATTATTCAAATGCCAAATATTATATAACATTGAACTTGCAATTAAACAGAGATTAATACGTATTTTTGAAATTTCGAAAAATACGCTTTTTTTGGTATATGACATACCGAGTTTTCTTTCATTTGTATTTTTTGGACTTTGGGACCAATTTTTTTTTGAATTTTTATTTCTTTAAAAAAAATATTTGGCTCATTGTTAAGAAGTATGCAAAAAATTAGGAAGGTGTTCTTTTTATAAATGTATTTTTTACCTCACGATAACGGTTTCGAATAGTGATTTTGGGAGGGGAGCTTACAAATGGCGTGGTAAAGCTGCCTAGTGACAGCACTGGTTACTGAAATTTCAATTGAAGTCTGAGTTATCTGACAAAAAGTGAAAAGAGGGTTTATCCAACCCTCTTTCCTATAAACGCGAGGGTGAAAAAGGCTGTTTGGTTCTGACATTGTTTTGGACGCCAATGACCATAGCTGTCCGAAATGAACGTTACAGGACGCATACATGGTATCCTCCAGAGGTCTCACAACTTGTATATCTGGGAATTTTTTAAGGTAACATGAGGTCAGGTCGGTCACGTGACATCACTACATCATAAGTCAATGGGGAAATATAAAAACTGTTATTTTGGCGCCGAGAATGATCTAAAACTATCTCACGTACATGGTATCGTGATTTCATGCACTCCTTGCAAAATCCAATGCTTCACTTTTGCATTGTTAACCTTGCGTGACGTCATTTATGACGTCACTAGGGTTGTACGAGTTTTTCGTCAATAACTCCCGATCAAATGGAGCTAGAGAGTCGGGAAAGCCACCAATGGACTCGGGATGACCTTCCGAATCGAATGATATGCCATATGATACCCTTTGCCCAGCTTCGTGACCTGAGGGGCTCTGACCTGACCTTGACTCGAGGTCAACTTCTTAAGTTGACCTCACCATAGCAAAAAGTATACCATTCGATGCACCTGAGCTAGACGAACACAATGATGCCAAAATCGTGGCTCTGCGGCCATTTTTTGCGAAGTTATTTACTAAAAACCGAACCCGTAACTTCAGTCACTTGACCTGACCTCAGACGCTACCGGTTAACCTGAGACCTTAAAATCGGGTACCAATCGCTGCGACTTGTAACGGCACACACGCAGGTTTTTTCCGCGAGGCTCTAGCTCCATTAGAAGCGAAACGGCGTGCTGGGGTCGTATGAACCCCTCCGAAACCCATTTTGTTTGCAGGAAAATGAGGAACTTATAGAAAGAACACCTTTCTAATTTTTTTGCATGTCGATTTGCAATGACATGAAGTTTATTTTGAAGAATTAAAAATGTGAAAAATTTTGGTCCCAAAAGTCAATAGAGGCAAATGAAAAAAGATTAAGGTTTTTGCTCAATAATGAAAATTTTTCTTTGGAATTTTTAAATAGTAATATTAATTTTTGATTCATCGCAAGCTTAATGTTATTTACTTTGTGTTGGCTGCTTAACCCGTTCTTGAGTTATAGGCCATCAAACTTACCGTTACAAACCGAGGTTAAAAAATGTAGTGCAATATAACTCAAAAAGTTTTGATCTGAGAAGTCTGATATTTTGCCAGGCGTCTTTGGGGCATATGATTACCCCTAGGACCGATTTTCATTAAAATCTGAGAGATGAGGGTGACGGGCCTGGTACGATCTATCGTGGAATGCCCCAGGTAGTAAAATACCTAATTAGGTAGTTGAAGTGCATTCTGAAAGAACTTGTTACCACAATCAGTCCGTCATTCCTTGAGTGGACGCCCTGCTGCAAGTTTCACATGTAACAATTATTCGGATCTGTTTGCAGGTTGTGTTCGGTCTGATGCTGCTGGTGCTGGCGCTGCTGGCTATCAGCCAATCGGAAGCCACTGGGTACGTAACTCGCTGTCCTCAGGCTCCTATGCGTAATCAACAGAATTAGATGATTCGTAAATGTAAAAATAACTTTTTGACGCAGATTTCTCACCTGAAGTAAAACACCTTTTGTCCTTTCCCGTGCGCAAAATAAGTTGAATGACATTTAGCCATTAACCGTTACCAAAAATCGACATTGAATGTTGATAACGCTATGAATACTGTTTCGTTCAAGCTCAAAATAATGTGCACAAATGGGTACAGTTTTCTATGGGGAGTCATTGCACGATGCTTCAGAACATTTCACGCATTTTGAGTAGCTTATTCCCAATGTCCCAAGCTAAAAGAGCAAGCAGATACATCCGAGTTGTATGTACGTTTCCATTTATACCTTTATCTGTTACTGTGCGTTACTACCTGATGCTTGAACGCTATTACATTGTTTGTGCTTCGTGCTCGTTTACATTTGAACGTAAAATTGAAGCACGTCTCTCTCGCATGAACTCCCCTCTGGTCCCCATATTTCTAGCACACATCATCTCCACGGCCCGCCCCTATGTCGCTGCGACCCTGAACCCTAAGTTGACCGGTTTGTGCACATCCCCAACAGGTTCGGATACAGGAGATACCCGTACTACGGTGGCTACGGACTGGGATACGGCGGGCTGGGCGGCTTCGGACGCTACAGCAGTTACGGATACGGCTATCCGGGCTTCAGCTACTACGGCTGATCTCTTCTGTAGCTCGCGACGTTGCGTGTCTTGGTGTGCCAGCCAGGGAGGCCATTGACCTCCGATGCAAATGCTGATGTAAGATGGTTTTACCCGTATTTTACTGGCATTTTTATGTGGTGGTTTTGGCACCAGAATTCGAATATGGTGGAGGTAAATCTCTCGCCAGGTAATGTCATCTGGCTCCCCCTGCGATGAGGTGTTTTGAGTAATGTGTCTTACATGTAACGTTCATACCACAATATCAAATACATTCGTTGGTTACTGAAGCGAACGTTTTAAGGTGAAACATCAAAATGCCAGTGACATTCTTAATAGAACCTTCCAATACTTTTTCTCCTAAAGGTTGCTAAATCGCTTCGCATCTGCAGCAATGATCTGGTTAATAAGACCCACTTGATATGTAATTGCACGACACGTATACCAACTAAAAAAAAAACAAAATGGATAAAACATCATACTATGGACATCATAAAAGCATCTATATTATGCTCTCGATGCACGTCATGATAATAGGATAATTGTCTTTTCAAAAAAGTTATCCTAGTATTACGTACAAAGCAATACTTTCGTGACGCTTAGCACAAGTTAAAAACTGTAATGTTTGTCTGTCATTGGTCAATGGTGATAACATTTGACCGGGTGTTTTAGATCTTCCAATGCTGCTCGAAAAAAATTGCGCAGGGAGCATTTAACAACCACACAGTGACACAGGTACTTACAAACGAAAACACATTTCACAAACATTGGCCCATGCTTTAGAAACTGATAGTAAATTTCATCCTCATGCTAGGTGCATTTTTATTAGAATCTGTATGACACCACAAAGTATACAAATATAAAACACGATTTTGACTCAGAAACCGAACAAGGCGTCATACTTGCGCACGTCGATCCAGGCGGTTCCAGACTGGTCGGGATCACCGTGTTCCTGGTGGGATGATCAATGACATCACGTATTACAAATTACATAACGTGCAGGCTGCCGGCGCAACGAGAAGTAACCTTGGCAGCCCACGACCTAACCAACCATTGCGGATTAGCGGCGCAGTGATTCAACGCAAACGCTCAATGTCAGACGCTTAAAAATGAGAAATGACCTTATAGGGCTGTTGGTCAGAAAGAGGGAGGCGGGAACATATAGAGGCGGGGAACAGGAAGATGGACGAGAAGCAGAAAAGAAGGCGGGGAACAGGTAAGGATGGAACCGGAGAAGGAGGCAAAAAGATAGATGGAAACGGGAAACATGATGAGAGGCGGGGATAGGAGAGGCGGAAAGAGGAAGAGAGACTAGGAACAGCTAGAGAGGCGGGGTCAAGAAGAGGGTCGCGGAGCACAAAGGAAGACGACAGACATTCCTAGCCCGCGCCCAGCCGTGCGGTCCGATCTCTCGGGCAATCAGCAAAGAGGGAGAGGTGTTTTACGCCCCACTCTAACTCTTCTTCTGGGCCGCATAGCGATAGACAACGGACGACACTCAAAAGGTCGTTACGATCCAATATATCAAGAAGTTCTGACAAAAGCAGAGCGGCTTGTTGCTTGTTGGTGCAATTGAATTACGAGAATTATAATATTCTAAGCCTGAAATTGTGCAAGAACTAGCAGATCCTAGGAATAACTCATGAATGATGAGTTATTCTTGAGTTAATCTTGTATACAAACAAGATTAAGGCCAGATAGCCGTCTCGACACACTGACACAATTCTTAAATTGCTTGTATTGCGACATATGAGCTCGTTATGACCTGGCTATAACCATATGCCATCCACTGAATGCGTCATGACGCGAATTATAGCCTTCATCATTCGGCGTTTATCTTAACACCAAATTGGCTGATATCAGTTACCTTCAGCTTAGTCAGACAATGCTGTAAGAGACTATTCTTACCACTACAGTGTCACGCTTTGAAGTTTGACATTTGGCAACTGGCAGCACATGCAACCAAATCGCTGATTTGCCGCAAGTGCCTCTGCAAGTATTGAGCAATGCCAGCATTGAGCAGGTCGTACAATGTGCGCATTGATTCACTACTGCCTTAGTATCAGCCTACTGCACGTGTTTTGTGAGTGATTTGTTCCATTAGGTATACCGTATTCCTTTGGTCTTTGTCTGTAGCAGAGTGGCTAGACGGACTTTTTATAGTATTATCACGTTGCCGAGGTCATTCTTCAATCCACCCCAGACACATCAGCTCAGCTCACATATTAAATGCTCCAGAATTAGAACTGGCAGTGATACCATTGCCGCATGCTACGACAGGAAACAACTACGGCCATAATCTGATAAGGATGTCTAAAACCATGCTTCACGTATTTCGACCAGGATGTGAACATCGTTGATAAGATGGGATGGGATGAAAACTAATTCCGTTACATACCATCTCTCCTAAACAAAAGAGATATTTTACTACAGCTGCAGAAAATGTCTTACAAAGATGGGGAAAAAGAAAGAATAAGCCAGCAAAACTAGTTCCGAAAATCGACATTTCAATGTTTTCCTAATTTATTGGATATAAGTCATAGATTAACAATTGTCTTTCGATGCTCTGTGATTCCATATTTGTAGTTAAAATGCAATGGCTAGTTGTATTACGGACTACGCATGGCACCTTATGCCTCTTATGCACCTTATGCACCATCGCCTCTTGATTTAATTGTGGCAGAGGCTTGCTCGAAAGCTCACCAATCATCGAGGAAATCGTTTAATTAAATCATCTGCTGGCACATATCGGTAACAGCAAAGGATTTGAAACTCGCCAAAGGTAATGGGATAATGAGCCCGATTCAGCCGTATGAGAGCAGCTGAGTACTTGGTGATGCTTTGTTGTGTTTGTTGAATAGCAAGATCGGGGTCAGTCATGGGAGTCTCCACTCGACTTTCCTCCTTTCTCTAAAATGTTCATCCGATGTGTCAGGCACGCCGTGGTTGAGCTGTATGTCTAAAGTCTTCATGTTTTATCTTCTTATTTATCTTCTCATTCTAGCAGCTGCACGCCAACATAACTGTGAAAGCCGCAGAATATTAAAATGCTCATATCAGTTACTCTCTTCCCTTCTCTTCCCTCTCACTCTCTCTCCTCTCTCTCTCTCTCTCTCTCTCTCTCTCTCTCTCTCTCTCTCTCTCTCTCTCTCTCTCTCTCTCTCTCTCTCTCTCTCTCTCTCTCTCTCTCTCTCTCTCTCTCTCTCTCTCTCTCTCTCTCTCTCTCTCTCTCTCTCTCTCTCTCTCCAAGAAATAATTGAAAAGTTTAATTTTAAAAAGTTACCACAGCCGCGCGGTTATAGGGTGACCGGAGGGGTCATATTAATTTTTCGATGGATCAGACATTCTCCGTGCGCATGCGTACAGGGCTTCTTATTTTGTTCCTGTAAAAGGGTTATTTTCCGCAGGCTGCTCATTCATAAAAAGATACCTTTTTGGAATGCAGGTGATCAGCTTAAAGCTTACATAATATAATGCGTATGTTATATAAGCGGCCATTATGAAACACAGGGTGATAAATTTCACGCGAGGATCATCTTACATTTTGGCTTTGGCGCTTGAGGTGTTCCAGGGAAAATTTCAAGGGAGCAAGCACCAGGCTTTGGCTTTGTGGTACCCAACATAAACGTTGGAATTTATTATTATCCTCGACACAAATAGCAAAACGATGAAATTACAGAAGCCGGAAAACGTGACCACTTTTCTGGAATATGGGTCAATTGAATATAGTTATCTGGCACATCTGACTCACATATGGCAAATGAATGAGACCGAGAACCCAGTTACAATGAATTGTGCAACCACACTCTGCTTGATCGCGCAATCGATAGCGTTGCTAACGATTCGTGCACGATTAACACAGAAGCAATTGAGAACACTGAATCACTACCGTAAAAAGACGACAAGACCTTTGTAGCTGACAGGAAAAACGCAAGCTTTGTCCCAGATCTTGTTGATTTCGTTAGATCCCGTTGCCACACGGGGACCATCTAGCCTCAACTGAAGGGCGCGCCGGCTCCGGTGCAAATCCAAGGTCCGGCTCCGAGTCTGGTCCATCGTGCTGTTTCACGGGCGACGGCTGGCGATGATAGCGGACATTTCTACAGAGATTACTGCGTTAAGCGATTCAATCCCAGCGGCGGCGCCCCGACGCTTCAGGGTTTTCCGCGATGCACTAAGCCAGGTGTGAGTATAAAGAGTAGGCCGTCCGACCGACTGGCATAGTATCTCATCGGCAGCTCTTCAGAACACATCATGAGGGCGGTGGGTAACAGACAGTGCTGGAAAGGCGCGGCAGTGATGGGGTGGACAGAGTTCTATACTAGCGAAGGGCTGCGAAGGGGCGTTGCCGCAGTGTCAGTGCGAATGAAAACAATGGAGCCACCTTGTGCAGCATTTTGTGAGATCAGCGTTGTGCTTAATTTGATAACTGGAAGTGAAAGTTTTATCGGAAAAGTAAAATTGTGTAGCGTTTTTGGTGTTATTGCATCGATTTAGATGCATATTTGCTGAAATTACTTCATTCGCTCATTACTCATAACTTCATTGGCCGTCTTCTGCTATGTTATGCTAGGCATTTATCATGAACTCTTTTTCGGCTCTTCTAACACCTTTGGTTTTCATAGCTGACCATTCGCTCCCCTTTTCCGGCAGATCGCTATCCTGTGCGCGCTGGTGCTTCTGCTGGCCGTGGCCAACGCCACAAAGGGCAAGGGCTTCGGCGGCGGCGGCTACGGGGGTGGCTACGCGGTACACCACGTCTATCATCCTGTCTACTACCACCCGCAGCCGATCTACTACGGAGGATACGGCCACGGCGGCTATGGCTACGGTCACGGCGGCATCAGCCACGGCGGCGGCTACGGCTACTGGAAGTAGATTGACACGGACACGGCATGAATTATTGCTCAACCTGGGTCAGTCGGAATGGCGCTGAAAAGCTGTTTCGGCTGGGAGATGTGAAAATTATCGCAAACATTTTTTATACGGCTCACTGCGTTCATTTCATTGCTGGATATATGAACCATGAACTGTGAACAATACCTGTGACTGTTTGGCACTGATATCACCGTTTTAGTGTTGAATACATGTGATATGAATGTGTAGATTACATACATGCGTTTAAACGTTTCAAGATTTCCCACGAATCTTTTCGGATTATGAGCATGTGTAAAATGACACAAAAAGGTCAAAAGGGTGAGATTAAACTGAGTGACCATCCCACCTTTATATTAGTTTTGAGTTTTGAGTTTGAGTTTCGAATTGGCGAATGGGCTAGAGAGAGAATTTT